GCTTTTTCGATCACCAGCCATGCTCTTGACTCTTTTTATGATGTTTACATTGCAATTTGCTCTTGAATAATAATTTGTAATCTTCTATTTCTTTCATATTCTTCATTTGGAATTTCTTTAGAAAGTTTATCTTACTGCTTTTGTAAATCTTTATTGGTAGACCACAATGACTACCTGGGGTTGGAATAGACCATGAAATATATAGAGCCGTGGACAAAAACAGGACATATGAGAAATGTCTCAAAACCGTTCTTCAGGTGAACGATGCTGTAGGACGTGAATGGCCTTGGATCTACTTTGTAACGCTTGTAATCCTTGGATCTTTCTTCGTACTGAATCTCGTTTTGGGTGTGCTGTCGGGAGAGTTTTCCAAAGAACGAGAAAAAGCTCGAGCTCGTGGTCTTTTTCAAAAATTTCGCGAGAAGCAACAACTTGAGGAAGACCTTAAAGGTAGTTTATCTTCTAGATTTTTTGAGATTGAGTATCCTCCCTGTGTCCTCAGGATATCTGGATTGGATCACGCAAGCGGAAGATATCGATCCTGTCAATGACGAACAAGAGGAAGAACCTCAGGCCGTTGGTTGGTCATTTCTAGCCTTATCAGTAGAATTGTCTTTTAATAAAGTATATGTGAAACTATGATTCTTTGCTCTTTTCATTCAAATTCTAAGAACAGATGATGGCTTTCTTAACCAAATATTCACTGTAGACTTCTTTTCGACCTTCAGCGGTGTTGAGTGTTTCAAAAAGATGAGAAAAGGTTTCTGCACAATTTCTCATGGACTCAGACACCGCTGTAGTTAACTTGATTTTTGCAATAACTCTTTAGATCTGAAAAGAAAGATTCACCTACACTAAATTAGGCGCCTTATAATTTCATTTTCTGACCAAAACCTTCCTTATTGCTTGGATTTTCATCATTTTGCGCCAAACTTCGAAGGAAAATGAGTTGACTCTTGAAATTCACTCTAGTTGAGGAGGAATACTCTAGTACGCTTCTTTCACAAAACAATCCCTATAATACTCTGGAGCACTCTTCCTCTTATTTAACATCAGTCGATGAAATGATATTCAATCGCAGTGACTGGTTAATCTTTTAAAAAATCTCAAAACTCATGCATCCAGTTTTTGTATTTATGCATATCTAATGTACTGTTCGATTGGGTTTCAAATAAGAAATTTTTTAAGGAAATAGCTTGATTTGAAAGGTTTGAAATACACTATTTGACAAAATTCGCCTAATATAATCTCTTCGTAAGCATTATGGCATCTCTTAATAATAACGAATAGATTTTGCCAGCCTCGAAAAATCTTTTCCTGAATTTTTGCGAATTGCGGGCGCATTACCAAATAAAAGCTGTTGCGAAATCACCAAAAATCAAACACTGAGCTGTACATGACACATTTCCATCAATTTATCATCTCTACTTAATTTTCTTACAGCTACCGGTGAAGAAGCCGATGAAGAAGGAGAAGATCGTACGGAGGAGACGCGACCATCGAAATGGCGAGCTAGAATCAAAAGGTTGATTACTTCAGTTCCATTCATTTGGTCTTTGCTAGAGT